ATAATAGAACACTGAAACATACGTTCAAAAGCATTAAATCAACTCAGCCATATCTCATGTTCATTTCCCCCCATTCTCATCGGTAGAGGAATCCATATGTCTTAGAGATGTTTCAGAGCTCACTATTGTGACCTCTTCAATTGTTGCTGCACTGTCAAAAAAACTAATTTTTTCAGTGTGTACCGTGTCTCTCAGGCTGTGAATCGAAGAAGCCGTCTCATCAGAAATGGGTTCTGCAGAGTCTCCTTCAAATGCACGTGTTCTCTGTGTCACAAGTATTGTCTCTTTGTCATCATGTAAAGTTTCATTCACAACATGCCTTTCCATCAATGTGTGTGTCCCACTTTGTACTCTGGTTTCCTCCACTGTCAACACTGAATCTGAGCCTAGTGTTACTTGTAAAGGCGATGTGTGAATTCCATGCACATCTAAATTAGTAAGGATTGAGGCTTGCTGTCTTTCTGATATAGCTTGTATGTTTGATGTGATGACATGAATTTCCCCTGACATCTGTTTCAGAGTGTCCACTGAGGCTGAGGACATATCCAATAAGAAAGGAATGTTGACTTTCTCTGGCTGGTGAGGCTCCATTGATATCAGTTCACATCTGGCTGTGGAAGTCACAACATAATTTTGTACATCACTGACCCCAACGGTGGCAGTGGGTTCAGCATATTTCACTTTAACCTTTGTAGGTGAGGTCTGTGACAGGCCAATCTGCTCAGTGGTTACTGTAGAACTTATATCTGCAAAAGCTTCAGATGACTTCAGTGACAGTGTCGGGCTGATGTTTTCCTCCACAGCCTCACTGAGTGAAATCTTCTCAGGTTCCTCGTGTGCCTTGCTTGATTCTTTCTCAACATCATCAAGCTTCTCAGCCTCTTCAGGTGGTTGGATTATTTCTTTCCCATCTGTTTTTGATGTTTTGGTTGGAGAAGAAAATGAGAACTTGAACCAGCCCCCTTTCTCTGTTTTTGCTTGTTCTTTGCTAACAGTTGCTTTCTGATCTGCTGAAGCCTCCAAATGCTTTTCACTTTCTTCAATCTTAGCATCAACCAATTTATCGCTTTCATCTGAAGACTGGCTGAATCCTAATGTTGGAAATTTAAATTTAAACTTTGATTTCTCCTGAGCTCCTTTGTCCTTATATTCTGCTGTTTCCTCAACTTTTGCTTCAGCCTCCTGATCTTGCTTAACAGATGGCTTGTCCTTTTGTGCTTCCATTTCCTCTATTGTTGGAACATTAAATTCAACCTCAAAGCCCCTGAGAACATCCTCAAATGTAGGCATTGTAAATTTGGGTGATTTTCCAGGCCCTTGTGTATCATCTTTGGTTTCTATTTTAGCATCTGGAGCATTCACTTTGCTAGTTGTGTCATCTTCTCCTTCCTGAGATTTTGTTCTGGAAATGCTGATCTTTGGCATTTTTATTGTAGGAAACTTGAATTTACTTGGGGAGCCTTTGTCCCCATCCAGTTTTTTAGCAGCAGTGTCTGGAAGCTGTTCAGTGATTTCTTTAATTTCACCCTCTCTTTGTATTTCTTTAGACATTTGTATAGGCTTGTCTTCAATATTTAGGTCAGTGTTAGCATCTGGTACATCTACTTCTGCTACTTTTACTTTTGCATCAGATGTTTTTTGAGTTGAAATTCCAAACTTTGGCATTTTAAAAGTAGGCAATTTGAATTTACTTGGAGAACCTGAAACAACTGTATCATCTTTCAACTCAGTCTCTACCTCTTTTTTTTCAAGACTGGAACTTTCCTGTAGAGCCATGTCTACTTTTGGGAGACTTGCATCTTCTGCTTGCATCTTGATTTCTGGTTCAGTGAATCCAATTTCAGGTGTTTCTGTGTGTACCTCTTTTGCAGTTACTGTCACCTCAGGACCTTTTACTTTGGGCAATGAAATTCCAAATTTTGGAAGTTTAAATTTAATTTCCTGTCCCTCTTGATTAAGCTCTTTTTCTTTTATATCAATATCAGTAGATGGGGTTTCCATCTCTGCAGTTTTGCCTTTGATGTCACCTGATGGATCCAACTTTGATGTCTCTATCTCATAATCCACAGAACTAACTTTAATTTCTTTGGTTTCAGAATCAGCCTTTGCTGCATCACTAGGGACCTTTGGAGCGGAGAGTCCAAATTTGGGTAATTTTATTGTTGGGAGTTTGAATTTTGTTGGCGAGCCAAATTTTGGACCTGTTATTTCAGTTTTGCCCTCTCTTTCACTTTCTTCTATTTCTGTATTGCCCCCTGGCAAGGATATATCTGCTGTCGTTTCAGTGGCTTGAATATCTTGGGACTTGCCATCTGATTTTGAAAATCCAATATTTGGAAATCCAAAGCTTGGTTTCTTCATTTTTAGTCCCTTAGAACTCAAATCAGTTAAACCTGCTAGTTCCTCAATCTCGACATCTTTTTCTGTACCAGCTTTTTTTACGTCAGTTTTAGAAACCTCTGCTTTTGAAACACTTATGTCAAATTCTGGACTTTTCGATGCTTGTAGAGAAATTCCAAACTGTGGTAGTTTGATTTTACTTTCTTCTACTTCAAGTTCAGCACCTTTAGCCTCCACATCCACTTCCACTGATCCTTTGGGTAAAATTAGCTCTTTCTTGACTATAG